CTTTAGCTCAATAGACTATAGACTGTAAGTCTGAAGATTACTATTAGAAAAAGTCTATAGTCTACAGACATGGGATTTTATGACAGCAAGGAAGATGAAGGGATATAATCTATGTTGCTCGTACTCTCCAAAAATGTGGCAGGATATGTATCGGATCCTCCAAAAGTAGTGCGTTTTTTAAGAATTCGACATGGGTGCGACTACATTTCGCAGAGTCCGCGCAACATAGGATATAATTGGCCGGAAACGGTTAAACGCCTCCTGTGCACTTTCTAAACAAATAACGCCCTTGAAGTCAACTCAATATACTACCCCATGATCTTGGCTTGATTCGGGTATTTGAACAGGTGTTGGTCGATAACAGGTAAATGCCTCACTGTGCACTTTGTAAACAAAAGACGCCCTCGAAGACTACAACTTGATATACTATCCTATGATTTTCCCTCCTTCCATAGTATTTTGGTTTTTATAGTAGGATATAGACATGTAGTTTTAATAATATACCAGATGGCAAACTCTCTTCTTTGGTTTCCCATGTTGCTCTGTTAGATGGTTGGGGGAGGAAAGAAAAAAAAAATTGAAATCTCAATTAGAAAAACCGTGACTCTCACTCTCTCTCTGGTTGGAGAATGACAGACCCGTCGAAAATTTTTATGTTTTGGCTGCAGTTCTCTACTTATACTTCTATGATCAACCAAAACAGGCAGTAGATTTAAACATTTGGTGTTAGGATTGACAACATCATTTCCGAATTAACCTATTCCATTGGGAATCCTAAGAATGCAATCCCACTATGTGGAGTATCCTTGTTTCACCGAACTATAAAGCTCATGAAATGAACCCCTGGTTTCTTGGATAAGCACTATTCTTTTGGTTACAGTTGATTATGGTAACATGAAAGGTAGTAATATTTAAAGTTGATAGCAGTGGGTGAATAAGTTTGGTGATCTCTTCAAGTGTAATTGGACAACTTGAAGAGAAAATGTTTGAATTCATTAGCTTGTTCTAATCGGTCTTTATTGCATACAAGGGATATGCCCCTCCTTTTGTATATTGGGAACAACTACACCCCCCATCCCCACCCCTCGTGTTCTTTTTTTCCTTCCTTTTTTTCAGGAAAAATGGCACTACTTAGTGCTTGATCATCTTGATGAATAAGATCCTTACTTATCCCAAAAAGAAAAAGTATAGTTACACAATTGGAAGTCAGGTGTCCACTCAAAGTAGTACATATTGTAGATGTGAACTTGTGCTTCTGTACTTACTCTATCTTGAAGAGTATCATGTTTGAAGGCAAGCCTTGACGTAACTGGTAAGGTTGCTGTTATGTGACCCGGAGGTCACGGGTTCGAGCCGTGGAAACGGCCTCTTGCAGAAATGCAGGGTAAGGCTGCGTATAATAGACCCATGTGGTCCGGCTCTTTCCGGAAACCCACGCATAGCGGGAGCTTAGTGCACTAGGCTGCCTTTTTACCCTGTTTGTTATAGCCTAAATGTTGTTTTCCTGTGGTTGCATACTGAGATTTTTGGTTAGTTATGGAAGATGTAAATCTGTGAGGACACTAATGGAGTAATATTTTTGTAACTTTGTAGGAGTGGAAAAAGGTTCAAAGGACCCACAGAGGGAGAAAGTGGGGAAAATAACTATTGATCAATTGAAAACAATTGCTCAAGAGAAGTTGCCAGATCTTAATTGTACTACAATTGAATCTGCAATGAGGATTATAGCTGGCACTGCAGCAAATATGGGAATTGACATTGACCCTCCGGTTCTTCAACCTAAAAAGAAAGAACTTATATACTAGTTTTGCCTTTTTCTATTACCTTGTAATTTTCCCCGGTTCTTTGAGCACCAACATTAGCCAGCCTTGTATTGATTAGAAGCAATAACATTCTCATTATTTATCACTAGACTGGTGAAGTTGAGTTGTGGGCACATCTTGCTTTTGTCACTTTTAAGCTTAAGTGCATATTACTTTACAAAATGAGAAAGCTAATACATTCTTCAATAAGAGAAGATAAATCGTGGTATATTTCATTTGTGCGTATGTCATAATGTTTTTTTTTTTTGTTTGGATCAAAAAGATTGTAGTCTATCGCTACATTATAAATATTATAACCTCTTTTTTTTTTTCCAAAAATAGTTCCTAGGATGTTTGCACATATTGTTTTATTGGCAAATACCGGAGGAACTACCAAAAAATTTGTTGTTGTTTTATTCATCTTGATTGCTTCCTTGACCAGCTTATTCGCCACCCTATTGGCTTCCCTGTAGGTGTGATTTACTGGAGGATGCCCCAGTGCTGTACCGCTGTTAGGAGTGACCTGCATTCACATATATAGTTTCGTAAATCAGATTGCCCTTATTGATATTGTGTATTACCTCAGTTGAATCTATGTTAACCTCCAAAGACATGAAGTTGTTTGAGGCTGCCATTCTTAGTCCTTGCATTAGAGCTGTTAGTTCAGAGTATAGAATGTTGGTGTAATTTATTTTCACCATAAATTCCATCACCAATCCCCATAGCTGCTTCGGATTACTCCTCCTAATTCACCTATCAACTCATTTTGAAAGGTTGCCCCGTCTGTGTTGAGTTTATAATGGCCTCTCCTAGCAAGGATGCGACTTGATATATAAGACCTTAGTAGGTATGTCATAATGCTTGACTTCTATCTTTAAATGTAAGTTGTTAAAAATTTGGCGTTATTGTAATGTATTGTAAATAGGACATAACAACCTAATATATTGGAGAATTATGAATATAGCAATTAGAGGTGTACATGGGTTGGGTTGGTTCGGATTTTACAATTACCATACCAAACCAATTGTGTCGGGTTATTAAATCTAAAGACCAAATCAAACCAATAAAACTCGGGTTTTTCAATCTCGATTTTTCTCGGGTTTTCTCGGGTTTTCGGATTTTTTCCCGGTAAAATCTTCTTAGAACAAAACATATAACTTGTGTTCAAAAATTTTCTTTAATCCTAGTAAGACACAACTATATAAAGTATTTTCCAAGAAAATAATACAAAATATGAGATGTGTCATGGCTTATCTTAAAATATTCAACAATAAAGACAATAAAATTATTTAATATAAATATTGCTAATTAAAGATTCATAATAAAAATAAACATAATCTAAAAGTACTAAGTCATGCTAATATAAGTAGAGTAATAAGGGAGTATTAATTACATGACTAAATGCTAAATAAAAAATAAAAATAGGTGATGCATTTTTATTTAAATTATTGCAAAACAAAAAATAGATATTCAATACATTCCCGTTTGCAGTATTGAATTGAATGTCTTTTGTTAGCATTAATATTGATTTGATTTTGGTTTGAGCTTTTGTTAGCATTATTTAATTTACTAATATTAATGACTATAAAACTTATTGAAACATTCAAAAGTTCTAAGTCAACCTTGAAATAATATCTTAAAAGATAAAATTATGAAATTTTTAAGAAATATTTATAAATTACATCACAATAAGTATACATATATTAAATATATCTAAAATTCTTATATATGTAATATCGGTTGGTTTAGTTTGACTCGAATTATTGTATTAATGCGATTTGTCGATTTCCTTTATACACCTCTAATAACAATATAACCTTTGATTTTTCGGACCGGTTAAAATGGTCAAACAAGGAGAGGACTTTCTGCTTGGCAATGGTAAACGTTGTTCCATGTCATTGACACGTCGAAACTTTATTAATCGTATAGATATATGTTTTAGAGTTATCCTGTCAAAATAATAAATTACTCCTAGTAGATTGTAAGAAATAGAAAAATGAGTGCCTAAAAGTCAACATGTCTGGCTGGAAATGAAAAATTGAGAACAAAGAAAGAAGAGGAATTCAAGGGGGTATCTCTACCGCTGTCTACGCGTTCGAAACGAGCTTAAGCACTACTTCCTCCGGTACAAAATAAGTAATTTTTAGGGTGTTTTTACACAGATTAAAAAATTCGCCTTTTAACAATAATGGGCAATGAAATTGACCATATTAACCTTTACTATCTCACATAAATACTCCTAACACATACTCCAACACTACTTACTTCAAGGACAATATAGGAAAAAAATAATTAATTCATTCTTGAAATCTGAAAAAAATCACTTATTTTGGACCATAAAAAAAGGTCAAAAAATCACTTATTTTGGACTGAAAAAAGTACTAATTTAGTCTGGGACGTGATTGCAATTATGAAAATATAAGACACCTAAGATATGAGGTGTGACGGTCATCATGCACTTTGATTTATTTAAAGATCATGTACTAGTGCTTTAGATGCGATCTTTTTTCCTTTTTAATGTGGTTAGTTAGTATGGGAACTATATAAGAAATAGTAAAAAAAATTTGCATCCAGTATTTACACCAGCAAATAAATGCATGATATATGTTCCGTATATAATCTACTTTTTACTTTTTCCGATTTACAATAAGTGATCTTTTTGCCTTTTTTGTGGTCCAAAATAAGTGATTTTTTAAGATTTCAAGAATGAATTAATTATTTTTTTTCCTACATTGACCTTGAAGTAAATAGTGTTGGAATATGTGCTAGAAGTTTTATGTGAAGAGATAGTAAAGATTAATATGGTCAATTTCATTGTTAATTAATGTTAAAAGATGTATTTCTTAATCTGTACGAAAACAGTCAAAAAATCACTTATTGTGGATCGGAAGGAGTACTTAATTATGATTAAGTGATATGCATATGCACTTTAAATTGCGATTGTCATGGTTAAACTGCTTTGTTTGGTGTAAACATTGGGTGCGAGTAAGTATTTACCGAAATGGAATTAAATACTACTCCTACTAACCACTGTATTTGCAAGGTTCTTTTTTTTTTCTTTTTCCTTTTCTACTTTAGTTTGCAGGTTCATATGGCTTTGAAAACAACAACAACAACAACCCAGCAGAGACTGTTTGTACGCAGTGGGGTCTGGGGAGGGTAGTGTATACGCAGAATTTACCCTACATTAGGGTAGAAAGACTATTTCCAAATAGAAACCCGACATCCTTCCCTCCAAGAACTTCTCACCTTACTCTTGGGGAAGACTCGAACTCACAACCTCTCAGTTGTAAGTGGAGCAACCCCTGTCTTTCAGATGGCTTTGAAAAATGGTAGGTGAAGTAGAAAATTCAAGAAATACAAGTATACTTAATGCATGTTTATGAAGAAGGAATTAAAGGCAGAAGGAAAAGGAGGGCCTTAAATATTGAAGTTTTAAGAGGAAAAGGAATCGGTCTTCTCCCCCGCCCCGCGTGGAAAGCTGTCTTGTTTCACCTAATAGGGCGCTGCGCTATATATACACAGAGTAGCACCCACAAATATCATTCAATTCTCTCATTTTCTTCATTTCCATCAATCCAAGGTACGTAACATGCATTCTGAATTTGTGAGCTTTTCAATTTTCTACTATTCGGAAAGCTATTATAGCTTTTATTTTTCGGATCGATTTTAGTTATGTGTTGAGCGATTTCTCCTCCATCATCATGTACTACTTGTCCATTATTTTGATTTTTTCTTCAATTTCAAATTTACCAGGTAAAAATGAGTGATGATCAGGTATCCCAACATAGACGCGCCCCTCGCTTGAATGAGAGGATCCTCTCATCATTGTCCAGGAGGTCTGTTGCTGCTCATCCTTGGCACGATCTCGAGATTGGTAGCTTCCTCATCCCTACTCGATCTCTTTCATTCTTCACTAATTTCACTATCACATACATACATCTGATTAGGGCTGTCAAATTTGGCCCAAGCCCAAATGACCTGCCCAACCTGCCCAAGGTTGGGTTGGTTATTGACCCGCCCATTTATTGAACTTAGCTCATCTTGACCCAACCCATCTCAACCCAATTAAAGTTGGGCTAATTTTTAGCCCAAATTGATCCATGAGTAAGTTTGTCAAAATATCTTAGAAATAATTTTATTTTTTTGTTTAATATTTTAAGTATGACCATAACAAAAGCAAAAAAGCCTTATTTAGTAATTATACAATTTATAAGAAAATAACACATATTAATTAAAGTTTAATAAGAGTTGGGCGGGTTGGATTATGACCCGAATTTTAATCCATTTTGACCCAACCCATCTTAGCCCAAGTAACTTGACCCGCCCAATTATTGACTCAACCTATTTTGACCCGCCCAAAATTAACCCAATCTGCCCATTTGACACCCCTACATCTGATCATTCCTTTTGTGTTATGCAGGACCTGAAGCTCCAAAGGTTTTCAATGTTGTAAGTATAGTTGTTGATATACAAGCACGAAATGTTAGCTCAAATGATGTCTGAATAACTGCAATTACCTAGGAGAAAATTTGCACCTATTTGTATTCCTATTCAGCATAGGAAAACTATTTTAATGATTAGATTCGTAATTTCTCCAATTGTAACCTTGATTGTTGCCATCTGTCAATGAGATCGGATTGTTGGGAACAACATAGCAGAGTAAAAGAAAAATGGCAATATTGTTATCTTTGTTATTTAAACACTTCTTTTGGTAGTCCCGTGGCTTACTTACTAGCTTCATCCTTACAGGTCATTGAGATTTCAAAAGGTAGTAAAGTCAAATACGAGCTTGACAAGAAAACTGGTCTCATTAAGGTATGATACAATGATCCAACCTATAAGGTTGAATTAAGCAATACTGTTACATGGTCAATGACATTGCCTTGTCATTCTTGTTTTGTTTCAAAGAGACACATAATCAATCTCCCTTCTACCGTCTATATTCAGGTTGATCGTGTCCTATACTCATCAATGGTGTACCCCCAGAACTATGGCTTCATTCCTCGGACATTATGTGAAGATAATGACCCCATGGATGTACTAGTCCTAATGCAGGTAAGCCAGTGAGAGATGAATGCCTTTCCATACAAAATCTTAAACAGTATAATGTTAGTTACTGGTGTTTTCGTCCAATCTAATCCGCAACAAAGTATCTTCTACAGACTAATTGAATTGAATTTGTTTTCTTCAACAGGAGCCTGTCCTCCCAGGTTGTTTCCTTCGAGCTAGGGCCATAGGTCTGATGCCTATGATTGATCAGGTTCCTATTACTTTATGTCTCAGGTTGGACCTTTATTATCAAGTCCTAATGATAAAGGAATGACAGAATTTCTTCATCTATCCAGGGTGAGAAGGATGATAAAATAATTGCCGTGTGCGCTGATGATCCAGAGTATCGCCACTACACTGATATCAACCAGCTTGCCCCTCACCGCCTGGCAGAAATCCGCCGCTTCTTTGAAGACTGTATCCTCTTCATCTTTTTAATTTGCTCCTCCTATTAATTTTCTAGCAAAATTTGTACAAGTATAATTTTCTTAATTGTCACTAGATAAGAAGCTTGAGAACAAGGAGGTTGCTGTTAACGAGTTCCTGCCTCCAAATACTGCTGTCGATGCCATCCAGTACTCCATGTATGATCTAAATATGATGTTTAAACATGGTTTTTACTAATCTCAGTGACGTCTGCTTTTGACTCTTTTATGCTGATTTGGGATGTACAAACGCTTGATAATATAGTACTTTGAGCCAATGTTGTGTTTAAAAGATTTTAACGTTTGTATTGTTACTTTCGTGCAGGGACCTTTATGCTGAATACATATTACAGACACTGAGAAAGTAATTGGATGTATTATGGAGCATTCTGCCAAAGTTTTAATTGGTATTATTGAAAGTGAGACTGTTGGAAGTCATTGGAATGATTTAGCTACCGTTTTGCTGAGGATCATCCTCTGCTGCAGCTAGATTGTTGTGTTTTCTTTTCATATTTTTTTAATATTTGTTTTTGACAATTTGCTGGGAAAGGGGGGGTTAATATGTTATTTCGGAATTAACACATTCGATATAATTCATTTGGGACATGAACACAATGTTTGTACTTCTTGCTGGGGCTGGTAAAGTCCATCTCGATTACTTGGTAAGGTTGAAGTCCATAAAACCTAATTGATCCACAAGATATCTCGATCCTAACCATTTCCAAAAATACAACAAATATCTTATGCTGAATAAAAATATGACGATAAAGCAGTGTTATATTTAGTTAGTTGGCTCCCAGGGTCTCTCGGCAGATATTGCCCCCTGTGAGGCTTAATAGAAAACCAATATATCGCAATCAATAGGACTTGGAACAGCTTTTTGGCAGTATACTCTAGATAACGGTTTGTGCTGCCCATTGACAAGGGACAAAAGTTCACCTGAGTATCAGCTTTTACAAAATGCTCATCGTTTAAAAATGTTGAGAAATGAGAAAGGGTATCAAAAGTTTATAATGATTAAAGAGATGCATTCCAGCATTTCCCGAGCTAGCAAGCCAACAGTTTCAGCGTTGACTGAAGAGAGCTTTGCTGATTATACCAGTAGCCTCGATATATCGATCAACACACCTGGAGACACAACTACTTTCGCTCCCACTTAGACTACTCCCTGGTTTGGTGATGCACTTGTCGAAGCATTTCTCCCTCACCGTCTGAAATAAGTGAAAAGGTTAAAATCAATCTTCTGCGAACGGACTGGTATGGCATTTGAACTGAAGTCACCCAAAACATGTGTCGCATACATCACAAGTCGCAGCATATTATAGAATGACAGCAAAGTTAACTCAATCTACTTCTCCAAAAGATGTTTTAAACAGTCCACAAAATTTTACAAATCTTATATGATGCATTCACAGAATTAAGGTACCAACATTTAGATCTGAATCAAAAACACAACGAAAAAAATGCAGATCAATCAATGCCAAGCAGAACATTATCCACATCATGACCATGGGCAAGCCTTTACATAAGTGCCATAAACAGTTTCTAGCACTAAGTTGAAATAAATTAATATGTCAGTTATTGAGGTGCCATCCATAGTCTAACGCACTGGACCTCACCGAATAAATGGCAGTGACTAAACAATAACTGGGCAGTGAAAACAGAGTAACACAGCAAAAAGGCTGGGATAAATATGTGATAAGATATTAGAGAGCAACAAAATAAGAGCATGTTGAATGAATTCACTGACCAATTACAGATTATCCTTAGGAAAAATACTGATCCCTCATGGTGTCACTAAGGTACGTTTGGAAAGCCATATGTAATTACTTGGTGATTACTAGGGTAGTATTTACACAACCTTGATAATTACACTGTATAATAATTATAATGTCGCTTGCCAAAACGTAATTACAGAGTAATTTTCATTGTCATGTTTGATTGGACAAGTGTAATTACATAATTAAGTAAACGTTTTTTTCCAGATTAACATGTAGATAAATTTTACGGTGTATGTGTGACAAACATATATGCAAATAATAAATATCAATTATATGAGGTATTTAAAATAATTAATTCCGAGGAAAGATATATTAAATTGTTATAAATTGTTGCACCTTCTAAATAACAAAAAGATAGATATGAGTTTAGAAGGTATTTTTTCTTAATAAATATTTATACTAATGAATAGAAATTAAAGCTAGTAAAATATGAAATTATGTTTAGCAACTAAGAAAAATAATAAGAAAAGAAGAAGAATATGAGAAGTTGCAAAATTATATGAAAACACCATAAGCAACACGTTGGATGGTTGGAAAGCTCATAAGAGAAATGAAAGAGAAATAGTATAAAGAGAATAGTACTAAATATATATGGAAAAACAAAAACAAAAGAGAATTAGAAAAGTAACATCATCTTGTAATTATACAATGTAATTACCACTGATTCTCACCAACCCTTTGAGAATTAGAGAGTGTAATTGCACACCCTCAATTCCACGTTGACCAAGTAAATACTTAGCCAGACAAACATGTCAAACTGTGTAATTACACAAAATCACTCACAAATTCAATTCTTAGGTGGCTTTCCAAACAAGCTCTAAATTAGCTTAAGAAGCTATTCTTCCTCCGTTGAAATAATGAAGGACATCATAAGGCTACACATGGCTCAAGATTTCAAGAGTTGGACAACTTTTTACATATTTCATTCAGCTGATGTAAGCAGAAAGAAATCAGCTTATCCATTGAGATTTTTAAAGAGAAGCCTTCAGATGACCAAGTATCTGAAACTACCAAGTGTCAGTTCTATCACCCAATTTTGTCATAATTATATATTAACTCAATTATCTAAAAAGACAAGACAGTATAGATTCATACTTCCTCAGTCCCAAAGAATCTAGCCTACCTGACTTGTGCAATTATTTAGAAAAATAATTGAATTGTTATGCACGACTCAGTAGTTGTATTATCCGTTCATGCAAGGAATTGGATCGAGCATATAACCACTGTATTTTCTGACTCACCTTCCAATTAAGTCCATTATCAGGTGTCTAGAGGTAAATGGATTGATTGACCAACTATGCTTCTTATTTATTCTGAATAAGAGAATTAGTCGAATATCGCCGAACTGAAACTATTGATCCTAAGATGGGTGATAAGCCATTGCATCTGTATCAAGCCCACCAATCTGTTGTCACAAAAGGATTCCAACCCATTCCAGAAGATTTGCGATATAAGGGGCCTTGCTTTAACGCCCTTTGTATTAAGATAATTTACTATTTCCCTTTTATAGTAGTACAAGGCAAGCTTTGAGAATGTTAAGAGGTGACAAGTTAGTTAAAAAGATGTTACCCAAAATTTAAAATAATATAATAAGTTTCATCCGACGGAGTATGCTAGTAGTATATATAAAGGATAAGGTGGAGAAGATCGCCTAAGAAGTTTTTGCCATGTCCCATGTCAACCTCCAAACAGTCCATAGGTGCAACAATACAGTAAGTGAAGATGCTAAATCAGGACGAGACAAACCTAAAATGACGTAGAGAGAAATAATCCAAAACATCTACAATTACTGGGAATCAATATGAACTTAACTCAGAAAATAAAACAAAAAGGACATGCCAATTGCCTTTTAACTTGGTAAGGGACTTATATGTTGATAAGTGGGAGAATACTGAACTTCTAGTTTTACAAAACCTCAATTTTTGGATCATCTTGTGCATTCACAAATATATGCCCCTCTGATTGAACAGCCATTCAATTTAGCAGTCGTGAAGAAAACTGGAATATGGATATTTCAAAACATAGGGAAACATGGATATCCATCCCAGAATATTTTCACGTGGACATACAATTTGTACATGACAAGAGTTCAACTTATCTCGTCAATCTCTATAATGAACTTTAGACTTTTCTAGCATACAATTGCTGATGGTTTACAAGGCTCTACCCTGAATATTGCAAAAAAAGTTCTAATTTTTAACGGTGTGGGAAGCTTCCTTAAACATTCACGGAACATAAAGATCTCCTGCTATCCAAGCAAAGCCAACGCCTACAAATAATAAAGCTTATAGCTTGAAAATGCTTTAAATAAACCAGAAATTATCCACATCTTATGTTGCTAATTAAGATAGTGCTCTTCAGATACTAACAAGTCAGGCATCTTAGATCAGATAAGTAACTATCCAGCAACTAACTGCTCAGTTAGTCAGAAAAGAGTGACAAATTGAGTACAAATTGTAAAATCGCGGGATAACAGTTTCAATTAACCAAGAGCACCGGCAAAAGAAAATATCATTAAACCGGGAAATCAGAAGCAGAACAGAGATGAGATCAAACCTCGAGAAATTGCTCAGCGTAAGCCTGGGCGAGCTGAGTTTTGACCTGGTCCATGATGTCATGCGTCGAGAATTGCGACGATGATCCACTTGACGGCGACGAAAACGAATCCATATCCCCTCTCACTCTCTTCTTCTCCTTCTCCTTCAGATTGTAAAACCCTAGATGCTAATGTTTTGCGGTTGGCCTAAAAGGCTAAAACCCCTCTCACCGCCCCTGGCTCAAATTACACATTTACCCCATATATATATATATATATGAACCTATTTCCTTTTTAGTCTGTTCCAAAAGAAATGACCTCTTTTCTTATTTGAAAACAATTTACCTTTACACAATGATTTATAGCCACACAAAATATATGTGTCTCATTTTACACCACAAAATTAAAAGTCTTCTCTCTTTTATTAAATTCCGTGCCGAGTCAAATGAGTTTACATAAATTGAAACAGAGGGAGTATAATATTTTTTTTTTGTTAATTCATTCTTCCTTTCTCTTTCCTTTCTTAATATAGTAGTAAAGTTTGATTTAAAATCCCTTAGGAGGAAAACACTTTTGCAGTAAAAACCATTTTGAAAGTCATTCACTATTGGCAATGAATTTATTGAATATGAATTCCAGTAACAGATATGTCTTTTGCTGAATGGTCCTTATAATATAAAGTCATCATGATCTTATGAATGAATCTAAGACAATTTGTACTTCAATATGTCGTTTGTTACGTTTGATGCTCAAACTATGTTTCTAAGGCGTAAGAAATAGCTTGTGGCCTCAACTTTCTACCTTTATTAAAGTGCATCTTAATTTAAATACAAACAGAAACAAACACATTTTTTAGTAACATTTCTCACAAAAGCTTGAAATATGTGTCATAACTATAATTTACTTGCTTTTAGAACTGATAATTTTAAATGTAATTATTTTTTTGTATGTTCACTTTGCTCTATCTTTATATATAGTTTATAAGATTATAAATATACCTTCAAACTATAAATTTACCAATTTTTTATATCAAACAGTCTTTAATGGACTAGTGAAAAAGGAAAAATCACATACAATTTCCCCCCATTTAATATGTACTATTTTTTTAAATTTTTTTAACTAGTATTCAGGCATTTCTCTCTTACTTCTTAGTAGTCTTAAGAACCCTTGTATTTTTGTTGCTTTCCTTAAGTGTATAAAAGAGCTATCACGCAACGTTCAAAGTGTGCGTCTCTAAAGTCTAATATATGTTGAAAAAATATCATTGTATAGCCGCTGTAAAAATAATAGCTGAAAATTGTATAAAATTTTTATATATTTTTGTATATATATACATTTTGTATGTTACATACAAAAATTATACAAGTTTTATACACTTTTTGGGCTACCAAATATAAATAGTTTTTGGTACGGACTAAAAGTAATAATACCCCATCTTTGGTAAAATAGCACGGTCTAGTCAGTTTTCGGACTGGTCATTCAAAAATAGCCAGCGTTTACCAAGTCAATAAAAATAGCCACTATTTTGCTGCAACAGAGACCGGTCCAGCATAATATACTGGAGTTTGGTGCAACTTCCAGCATATTATGCTGGACCGGTATACTTTGCTGGCTCCAATATAATATACTGGAGACTGGAGCACTGGTGCTCCAAACTCTAGTATATTATGCTGGACCGGTATACTTTGCTGGCTCCAATATAATATACTGGAGACTGGAGCACTGGTGCTCCAAACTCTAGTATATTATGCTGGATTATTTTTCTGGATTTTGAACAGTGTTTTCGTTCAAAATTATCTTTACATGAAAAAGGACTAAATTTTGATTACTTTTGAAACTGGGCTATTTTTGAACGACCACTTATAAATCTGGCTATTTTTAAATTTCTCCCCACATTTGTTGTTGTGAGGCCCAAACAGTTCCAAACTTGGGGAAGCCTCATGTGAGGCGAAAAATCCATTATTTGGGCCAATAGACTTTTGCACTAAACAAAGTGATGAAGCCCAAATACACTAAAGATATAAGTTGCTCTAGTCAAACGCTCAATCATGATTCACGGCCCATTTATTATTTCAGCCATAAATGCATGTGTGTGATGGGAAACGAAAAAATGACTTTCAAAATAATAGCCAAAAAATATTTTTCTTATATATATACATTCTGTATGGTTAATACAAAAATTATACACTTTATTAGCTACTAATGTAAATAGTTTCTGACGCGAGTTAGAAGTGATAATACCCGAAACAGATTTTAATCTCAGAAAAGAAAAGAAAAACTGAAATTGCTGAAAGATAATGCTGACAAGTCACCCTACAACGACTTGGCAATTTCGTCAAGTGGCTCATAATAAATGAGTTTGGCTTGCCAAAAAATTTACGTTAATTGGCAATCGGAACAAATCATAAAATAAACAAAATTGCGATTGACTGTATGCACCGACGTCGTTTTCATATAGGAGAGTGATACTACAATCTGACGAGAAGACAAGGTTCCCAGGATTTGCATTTTTTTCGTGGTTTTATACAAGACACGACTCCTGGGATTAAGTAATATAGCACAAAGTACTATACAATAAAATAGGAATAGTGCATGCACCTGCAAACAGTTTGGAAATGGTTATTTAAGTAATTATATGGTTGAAATATAAGCATTAATGAAGCATGATTTGAACATGTGATAGTACAATATTAATGAGATAATATATACCTGGCGTAATACAACAACAACAATCCAGTATAATCCCACTTAGTGGGGTCTGGGGAGGGAAACCCGGCATCCTTCCCTCCAAGAACTTCTCACCTTGCTCTTGGGGAGACTCGAACTCACAACCTCTCGGTTGGAAGTGAGGGTTGCTTACCATCAGAGCAACTTCCCACCTGGCGTAATACGACAAATGAAAATTATATGGACGGCTCAAGAGTCAAGTCATGGCCTTGCTTTGGACATGCTAAAGTATTCTTTTCAATTTGTGAGAGCGACTGGTTTTTGATGTCCTTATTTGTTAAGTGTAGCTTACTTGTCCACATTTTGTTTACTTTTAGTCAAATTATTGTATTTGATTAGTCAAGTTTTCTTCTGTTAAAAATACAATATGATTTCCAGTACTGATACACGCATACATCAGCAGCGCCTGGGCTAATGACGAAAGCTTTTCCGCCTTTGCTCCATACATTACAATAACTGCCCAATAGAATCCCACTAATAGGGTATGTGGACCTTACCTCTTCGGGATAGAGAGGCTATTTCCGGGAGACCCTCGGCTCAGAGATGCTAGATCTGTAACCACAATAGAAACCAAAAAAATAGTATCAGCGTACAACAAATAAATGAAAAGGCCAAAATGTGAAAAACAACAACAATAATAAAAATAAATAAAAATTGTGAAACACAATAAAAACCGCTAGTAGTCCTAGACAAAACACTATCAGACTAGCCGGTGCAGCGAGGAGAAACGCTCGACTACCCTCTAACCTACAACCCTAATGCTCGATCTTCACACCTTCCTAACAAATTAAGGCCTTGTGTTCAGGGGCGGATTTAGGGGGGCGAACACCCTTCGCCGAAAAATTACACTGTATATATAAGGCAAAATCTGTTTTTTATCTTTATATATTAAGTTTTGAACACCCTTTAACATAATCCAAAAGTGTAGTTTAGTGGTCAAGGGGATTCAAAATCTATATAAGGTCATGGGTTCAATTCCCACTAGCTACAAAAAATTTTTTGAACCCCCTTAGTGGATATCCTGCCTCCGCCACTGCTTGTGTCCTGCTCCATACATTGAGTATTATAATTAATCTTTATTCATATTATGTATATAACGACGTTGAATTGATCAACAATAAGATAAGTCTTTGACGTTACTGCAAGTGAGAGCTGTCCAGCCTCTTAGACACGTTGCTCAGGAATTGGACAACTAATTTTTGGCTCGTTATTTCAAATTTTACGTATATTTACTAATTCCATTTTTATATTGATTATTTAATCAAGAGAAAGGCTATATATGTAGAAAGTTAAAGTATATATAGAGAAAAAGAGCATAAATATAATTTAACCTGTCTGTGGGACTGTGGGTATATAGAAGAATGACATAATCATATTCAGAAAGCATAAAGGTAAAAGATCATGTCATGAGGCACAGCAATAGTGAAACCCTAAAAAATATAGTATTAAACAGGCGTATGTGTATTGCCATGCACCAAATAGATCTTTTGTGGAATTAAGTAAACCAGCCATGTGAAGTCAGAACAGAACATGGGATGCTTTTTTGCTTTTATTCTTATTTCTACATCCCTATGAACTTGTTATTTCATATATTACCAACTGTTATGCTCCAAAAGAATCAAGATAGTAATTAATAAATAAATAATGAAAGACAATTTGCAGTACTAAAATTAAATGGAAAGGTAGTCTCATGTGTATGAACCTAAAGGGCTAGGCAATTACTATAAGCAAGTAATATGAGTAGCACACAATTCAACAAGGAAAAGCCTAAGATCGAGGTTAATTAATAGCAGCTTGTTTTGCGGCTAATGGGGCACATTTGCACAGTGTGCTATACATTTGAGTAAATGGCGTTTTATTTTAAAAAAAAAAAACAAAAGTCAAGAGCGACCTTAATTAAGTAGATATATATTCCCACATGAGGGGTTGGTAAACTTCATCAATCTGTTGTATCATTTACACTATACAATTTATATAGTGTAATTTGAAAATTGTGATATTAACTACTTAAAGGGTAAAAATTGTTGATTCATGATATTTGTGTCATTATAAATGTTTTTTATTAAAGATAAAATTACTAAAATTAAAAAAAAATGAAGTTAAATTTGTTTACTTTTAAAATCGGATAACAATTAAACTTATAAGTGATTTTAAGGATATGTGATTTCACCTAGTGCCAATTGATAAATATAATGATTAATAGCAGAAATAAACAACAAAGTAAAGCAAACCAGTATCGAAATGCAATTCAGCCCTCGAGCTAGGTCGCCCTCAAACTGAATGGGTAAGAGTAGAGCTATGAAACCAACTGATGAACAAGAGGATATAAGAAAAGAGTAATATTGTATTGCTTTGATATGCGTGAATGTAAGATGGTTACAAAAATGATTCGGATCCTCGTTATATAATAGATGAATGCTATTTATGGTACAATTCTAATTACACAAGTAAATCCCATGATGGGCTAAATAACCGTTCTTAATTTGATCCGTTCCGAGATTTCCGCCATGATCCTC